ATTATTATTATTATTATTATTATTATTATTATTATTATTATTATTATTATTATTTATTATTATTATTATTATTATTACTATTACTACTACTATTATTACTACTACTATTATTACTATTACTACTATTACTATTAATATTACTATTATTAATATTATTACTTACTTGATAAGATTTAATCATTTTTATAAAGTAATTTAATATAAAATTTTTATTTAGATATTAAGAATAATTTAACTATTTACTTAATTTATTTACTTATTTTACTTTATTTATTTATAATAATATCAAGATTAAAAATAGTATTATAACTTAATTATAATTCTCTAATTAATTATCATAATTAATTATAATTTTTTGATTAACTATCACAAGTTATAATTAATTAAGATAATATCTTTAATTAAGATAAATAAAAATTTTACTTATTTTATTTATTTATATTTTTATAATAAAATATGTAATTTGAATATTTAAATTCAAAAATTTAATTATATTATATAATTATATAATAATTTAAAATATTATATATAATATATATAATTAAAATTTATTATTACTAATTATAAATAAATTTATTCTATTTTTAAAATATAAATATATAATTAAATCTTTATAATTATTATATTTAAAAAAGTTAAATTAAATAATTATAAAAAAAATATAATTATAAAAAGATTTTTTTAATTATAATTAAAAAATATTTATAAAAAAAATAATTATAAATAAATATAATTATAAACAAATTTAAATAAATTACTTTTTAAAATTAAAATTAAATTATTATAAATATTAAAAATTTAGTTAATAATTTATATATAAAATAAATTTTTATTTTTCTTAATAAATTTTAATTATTTTATTATTTTAATTTTGATTAATAATTATAAATATTATAAAATTTTAATTATTAATTTTAATTATTATTAAATATATTCTTATATATTTTAAAAGCTTTTTAAATTTTATTTATTATAATTAATACTTATTTTTAATTATTAATTTATTTTTTAATTATATAAAATTAATTTTTATATTTTTATTATATTTTTTGAAAGATTAATTTAAAAATCTTATTTTATATTATTATTAAAAAAATTATAAAAATAATTATTTCTCAAATTCTAAAATTATTTCTTAATTTTAGTTTTTCAAGTAAAATAAATAAATAAACTATTAATATAATAAATATATTTTCTCTATCTTATTTTAAAAATATTTTATTTTTTAAGTTATTAAATTCAAATTCTGCAAGTATTATTAATTAAATCTTATTTATTTTTATAAAAATAATTTAAATATATAATAAATCTTTTTAATTTTATATATTATATTAAAATAATTTAATATTACAAAATAATAATATTTATAATATATATAAAGTTTTATTTAGAAATCTTGAATATAATAAATTATTACTAATTTATTAAGTTTTTTTTATTTTTATTTTTTTTTATTATTAATCTTTGATAAATATTGTAAAAAATTTTATTATATTAAAAATTTTAGTTAATAATATATATTAAGCAAGAATTTTTTTTATACTGAATAAATTTACAACATATTCTTTTAATTTAAATATATAATAATTATTTTAGAATTTTCTCTTTTATATCAAGATATAATAAATATTAGAATTAATATATGTTTAAGTTATTTTCTGAAAAGACAAAAGCACATAGTTCAGATAACTTAGTATAATTTATTTTTTATGTAGGATGAAGAAATCATTCTGTGAAGTAATAATGAATTAGTCAATATCACAAATAGTATACAAACACTTCTCCAAATAAAGAGAGTTGTTAAAGCATTATTGATTATGTGATCAATTCTTATAAATTTTCAGCGCATCCGATTAGTGATTTTAATGATTTATAAAGTCGGGATAAGGGTTATACGTAAAATTGCCATCCCGATATTTTACCAGGACAGATGATTTCTTTCATTTTTCATATCTTGTTTGTCCAGTTGATTAAAAAATTTGCGTATTCCTATTGGACATGGATCACATGATCCACAACGCTTTGAAATTAAATGTCAGGAAAAATCACGGATCACAATTCTAAACTTTTTACAATGGCTCAGCCATACTCATGTAACTTTGGTAAAAATGCTCTTTTATAAATATATTACGGTATCATTTATTATATATACAGTATTGGTTTAGCTAAATAGTTTAAAATGTTAAAGATTATAAATAATTGTTAGATTCACCAACCCAATCTCTAGAAAGCAATATAATGAGAAAATAATGAAAGAAGGGAAACTTAATTATAATAGTACAAAAAATATGCACAGAAACAAACGACTAAAAGGTAGAAAATTAAGCAGAATATGTGTATACATTCGTATCAATTACGAAATTAAAAGAGAAATATGAAAGCATGCCAACCTTGGATGTAACATGAAAAACTCGCAAAGATTATAAGGTTGTAAAGATACAAGCTTCATTCATTCATTATCAACCCATGAACTAGCCAATGGACCAAAAAATGGGACCTCGTATCGATCTAAGGTTGCCCCATCAATATATGCACGATACCTAAAACGATTCATAATTGAAATTATACAATATAAAATTAAAATAGTCGATCAAGAAAAAAAAATAAATAACTTACGCGAGAAACCCAATTAGACCCAATTCAACCAATAGTAATAGAAAACCAACCACTAATGACAAGAAGTTTATAATAAAGTGAAAAAACTATATGGCAACAAAAAAATGTTAGTTTTATTCTTGATTTTACAATATAAATAAGTAAAAAAATAAACTTACAAACAGTGTGCCAAATAATATACACGACTAATAATTTCAGAAATGATGATGAGCAAAATATCAAAATGTATAAACAAACAAATAATTATGTATTCAATCTCACCTGCCAAGCATGAAACCGAACGTAATCATTCTTTTGCTCTAGGATTAAAAATAGCACGCCTAAATAAAAATTTGAACATTATATTATTGAATATACTTTAAATCAAATGCGTAAATTAAATTAAATAAATTCTATACCAGTGATGCATCCAAGTATATATGTCAATGCCGCGGCGAAATCAACTCTAAGTGACGAACCTAGAAATTAGCTTATGACACAAAATTTCCGTATAATACTGGATCAAATTACAACCTTATAGGTAAATCTGTTTCATATGTGTTAACCTTTATCTGGTTTGAGGGTGACAGTCCTGTAGCCTGATATACTCCGGTAAAAGGAGCCGTGGAGGTTGAGCTGGAAGCTGCTGCGGCAGAGGTAGACGCTGAAGCGGCATGTGCATTACTACCACTACCACTTCCGCTCGAAACTGGAGAGTACCGAATAGGTGACGCTCGATATGTTTTACTTTCGTCTGGCGGTGGTGAATAAGGAGCAAAAGTGGAGAGATTTTGAGAAGACATTATTGTTGTCTGTGCGCAAAAAAACGTGAGTTCAAAAGGTAAATTCTTGAAATTTCACATGATGGATATTCATTCTAGTATATATCATATGAACATGACATACAGAAACGGAGACATTCTCAGCGATATAGCAGGCTATTGCGGGATAACAAAGGAGACGCATTTCATACCTTTGAATATATACATTCAGAATTTAAAGAAACCATTGTTCCATAAGCTTACAGAATTATATTAAACATGATAGGAAGGGTAATCCTCTTTAATACATTTTTATTTCTTTATATTTGCATTCTTTGCTAATTCGCTAATTCCTCGTATACAGGCCCTTCAGCTCTTATTTTCCCCAGTAACCAACTTATTCGGTCCTTACTTCTCCCGTTTTACAGATGCCGCCACCTCACAGAAGACACAGCGCGTCGCCGTCAAATCAATATTTTTTGGCGTCGTTGCTTTTATATTGGTGAGCATAGCATCGTTCTCATACCTTGGATTTTACATGTTATATGTTCCAAAAATATCACATGTTAAGCCTGTTCATTTACAATACCAGTAAGTCTGTCTCTTTTTATTAATTGACGATTTTTTATTATTTTTTGTTGTTCTTGATCCGATTATTGATCACATCGGGTTTGTATTGATAGAAAAGCCGCGTTTCCGACTGCTTTGGTTAATTTTACATCGGGATACAATGTAATTTATTTAGACGTTATTGATTATTATTGCATCTTCTCAATGTCTAAATATAATATTTCCAATTATTTAGTTTCTGACAGCCGACCAAGCTTACGATGTCACAATTGATTTGCATGTTCCCAACTCAGAAAGAAATGTCAAACTAGGTTAGGATAGAAATAATCTTTATTGTCGTGTTCATTTCAAATTTTATTTAAATTGAAGATATTTTTGTTTTCTTAGGAAATTTTATGATTTTTTTGGAGCTTAATTCAGCAAAGAAAAATAATGAAACAGTTCATCGATCAAGTCGTTCGGTAATTATTAGAGAGAATTTTGAAATATAGAAAAGTTTAGACGATACTAAGTTTATTCCCCAATAACAGACCATCCTTCACAAACAATCCGAATTACTTCGAGTAATGTCTACTATATGGCGTTTGCCTCCATTATTACTGGGTTGGACCAAGGAAGATCAAATGTTACACGTGAAAATGTTTGAGAATATGATCGAAGATCTGGTAAATTAAAAAGTAAATTAGTATCCTTGATCCTGGTCTTCTCATATAACCTTATTTTTTAATCAAATAATTAGGATAGGCCGATATCACACGCGTATGTTACTATTGATGAACCGCTCCTTGAAACTTATGAAGTGAAGATTCGATTAGACGCTCATTTCAAAGGACTCAGGTAATTTGAATTTACTTTTTCTTATCGTTTTTATTTCGTTATGATTTTTTCGCATTATATCTAAAAAAAATCAATATTTATAATCTGTCGAGCACAGATATTTTATGTATTATCATCCATACATTACCGGATCTACTTTCACCGCGATATTTCTATTTTGGGAATTTTTGTTTTGCATTGTGGCGTGGAAAATGTTGGTTTCTTGGTGGCAGACCAATTTTCCAGAGACTCTTAAGAACCGTCCTAAGAATACGGGAAAAAGAAATAACGGTAATAATGGTGATAATGACAGTCAAAACGGTGATGCTGCTACGATCGACGAAGAGGGACTGGGTGGTGGTTGGGAGACAATTAAACGTGAGGATGGAAGTGGTACAAGCGAAGATAAAGAAAATGCAAGTGAGGCTGAAAGTGAATCTGATGTGGTAAATAAGTAATGATGATCTTTGTTTCGGCATAAAAATAAACAAATTGATTCATTATAATTTTCATTAATAGCCGCGCGTTGCCAGTAACGTAGCTACACGACCTAATATACCCACATCTCCTGAAACCACTGAATCATACACCACTGAAGATGACGATCAGGGCGTGTTATCGGCACATTCTCAAGACGACATCGGAGGCTCAAGGATACCTGAAACTGATGGTGATTCGATTGATTACGACGATGGACAAGGAAGCGTCACCCCTACCACAAGGAGTAGAAGAACCTCTACTTCCGACTTTTCCTCATCTAATGTTAATACAGAAGATGATGATGATGATTATGCAAGACAAGAAAGACCGATAATCGGCACCTCTACTTCTCGAGTGCCTACCACTGGATCACATCTCTATAATAGACGTGTTCCAGGTGCTGGGGTAAGTGGTGGTGGAGATAGTGATACTAATGTGGGTAATAATACTGGATAATTTGGTGAAGTCAAGGTATTTTTTTGATTGTATATTAGTATCATAACGTTTATATCTAGTTAATAAAATATCATGAAATATATCGTGTCAAGCTAACGTTAATGTGAACAATCGAGCAGTTCCATCCTTTTGGAAAATTTGGCGGATAGTTATTTGACATGTAAAAAAATGGTTTAGCAAAAAAATAATGATGATTTTCTGATTCGATTCCACTGGATCTCGAGATATCGTGCTCCAAAGAGGCCGAACGTCAAATTTTTGATAAATGATTTTACGCGCAGCCTCTTCAATATCTCGAGACCAAATGGCGGGAATCGAGTTAAAACTCACCATTCGATTCACCATAATTTAAGGAATCGAATTGTGGCTTTACACTCGATTCTTGTCACCAAAAATGGCATCTCATTATAGAAGTGGGAGACTTTGCATGTGGTGTGAACATGTGATTACAAACGATGCCCGGTTCAGGGACAATAAAAGTAAATTATGCGTTTTAATATAAATTTTTTTATAATGTGTTAAAAAATTATAATTATGAAATTATGCTTATGAAGAATTAAAATAAAGCATACACAACCCCCACAATATATTACCGGAAATAACAAAAATAAAACTATCATTTTGTAATATAATATATCAAAATCCAGTGATCCCATTTAAATGAAGATATTACCATAAAATTTGTGAGCTGGAACAAATTTAATGGGAGTATTTTCATTTAAATTGGATTATTGGATTTTGAAATATTGGAACTCAAAGCAACAGATTTGTTTTCGGGATTTCCGGTAATATATTGTAGGGGTGCGTGTGTTCAACTTTTTTAGTGATTACTATCTGAAAGAGAATTACGCGTGTATTGATAGTCTTTTCGATTAGGTTGTGGGCATGAAATTCTTCGTCACGATGTAAATCACAACTCACGTGATAATGCAACGAGACTCTATAATCACGTGATTGTTTCAAAGAACCAAGGCCACGTGATTTTTAATCGACCAATAAAAATTATAAAATTTTTTAATTATAATAAATAATAATAAATTAGAGATTGCATTTGGATAAATTATGAAATTTACGCGTTTAAATAATTACGCGAAACACCAACTTGAATGGAAAATACAAATTGGACAATTCAGGCTGGCACTATGATAATGCAAATTATCATAGTGCCGGCCTGAATTATAATAAATGCCACCAATAAAATCGCTTTCATTATATTTACGTAATAATGATTTGTTTCAAATTCGATTGTCATATAAATTAAAAAAAATCTGACCGGTAAATTTATAGATCTTGTTACAATATAAAAGCAACTCGTCGCGACATAGAGTAGAGATATCGAAAAATGAATTAATTAAATTGTAAATTAGACTAATTAATACTTGTAATGAAAGCTTATAACATAAATAAGTCTTTAATACATTCCTTTATCATATCGATCTATTCGAAAGTACATGTTTGTTGAGTAGTCCACAAAGACTACAAAAGTACTAACATCGTAAAACCTTAAACCGAAGAATTACGATCAATCGAAGTACATGTTAATTGAGTAGTACTACAAAAATGTTTGTAAAATATAGTCGAAATATTTGCGATCAAGAATTACCAACTAGCGATTCCTAAAGAAGAGGCAACTCGAGATCAGAGTAGTGATCGACGAAATAAACGGACAAGTTAGTAGAATTCGAGAAACTCCCGTGATCGTACAGTCTCACGGTTTACTCGGTAGATTTCCCAGAAGACGGTCCACCGGGTAACAACGTTAACACGTGCAAAATTTATTGCAGGCATAATTATTTGGTGGTGGAGGTGAATAACTTTATTTTTTCTTATTGCCTTTTTTCTCTGAAGTATGTATTTTATAACTAGAATCTGTTGTTCGAATAAGTGAAATATTTTACTCCTGCTTCGAAATACACAAATTGAAGCCACACAGCAGAGGTATAACATTTAAATAAAAATAATAAATTGCAAAAAAGTAAAGAGATTAATAAAATAGATCGTGGAGAATTGTCACACTCTTATCCTCAATACCAACCATCCGTTGCCGAAGCGTGCCACGACAATTTTCCTGGACAGATCCATTTTTACAATGATGGATCTCATTTAATTAGGGAAGTGACAAATATTAGCTAATATTCAGGGGAAGAGCAAAATCTCAAGTATTAATAATTCCACGTGATTATGTTCATGTGACATCTCGGAGGGGGTTTTATAATAAATTATATGTTAGGTAAAATTTGTCACTCCCCTATTGTGGATCATGATAAAAATTTTAGCAGATCGCTCAGACCATTTGGCCAGAATTATCAAATATTTTAAAATAATAGTGTAACCCCTTCACATGATTAGAAATGGTCAGACCAGAGACAATGATTTTATGCAAAATTGCATAACTGCATAAGTGAGCTTGTAAATTTAATTAAGAAAATACCGCATAATTCGGCAAAAAAAGTTACTAAAGTCGCAAGATCAATGTGTACTTGCTTTTTCCCCCGTTTCTAATAATTCTTTACTCTTCATCTTTCTCCCATTCTATTTCTTCATCCTCCTTCATTCCAATACTCACCTCCTCTGCTTGCTTCTCCTTTCCTTTTCCCTTTTTAATACTGCTTATTATTTGTTGTCGCTGTTGTTCTTCTTCGGTCTGTTGACACGTCTGATCTTCGTCCTTGATCAGCGGCGGAAGCAAAAGTTGCGCTTCAATCTGTTGCTGCAACTTGTGAACCTCTTGAAATGAGGAATCGGTTGTACTCAATCCGACAGAACTTAAACTACTCGACGAGAATAGTTCGCCTTCGGTCAATATTTCACGGATGGATCGATCTGATTCATCAATTGTGTAAAGTAATATCACGCTATCGTTATCTTCTGGTAATAAGGATGAGGAAGAAGAACAAGTGGTCGTTTTTTCGGAGCGAATTGATTCCATCGCTTTTATGACTGCGGTTAAGATTTTTACTGGGCCTCCTGGCTAGTCAACATATCTTAGGATTACGATTTACTGGAATTAAATAAAAACCAAATTACGAACTATTATTTAATTTACCTTTGATACAACTACAGCTGATCGCGGTTTAAACTTTTTCAAAATCTTTTCGGCTTTATGACACTCTGTAATTTTAGAAAAGAACACTACACACAGATTAGAGGGAATCGCTGTCTTCGTTGACGTTAACTGCATCTCTTTTAACAAAGTGCTCTGAGTAACTGTAGCCGTCGAAGTCGTCGCTACCGCCGCTGTCATTGAAGCTTGCTTAGCTCTAGCAGCAACAATAGGTTGCTGCTGCGTCTTGAACTCGCTCAGGAACCAATGCAAATTATCAATACTATCATCCAGTATGATAATATCATGATTTTTTTTCGCGCATTCATCCTTCAGATTTTCTTTTTCTACAAGATGATAAGTGAACCCCCATTTTGCGAAATATTCTACAATTTGCTGCGACCACAAAAAATTCAAATTATTCAAGACGACGAACGAGAGGGATCGTAATTGTGTGATGAATGTTTCTTGTTTGTGTTCCGATAATTTTAGGTGTTCATACGAGAATGGCAGCAAGGCAGCACGCATGTCTTCATATGTAGAAGAGATTGGAAGGGTAAGACAGAATGAAAAGTTGCTGCCTTTTTGAATGACAGATTTTATTTCGAGGCGACTATGCATCATATCCAATAGACCTTTTTTGAAAATTAACAAAAGTTAGAGAGATATTATTTTGGTGTACGGAATTTACGCACCAAACACACCTTTTACTATACTCAGTCCTAACCCAGTTCCTTCGAATTTTCGCCGTAAAGATGAATCCTCCTAATTAATTGTAAAGAATATAATGATTATATTTCCTTCAATTGTGAGTAAAATCAGCATTTTTTTTAATTAAAGAAAAAAAAATTCTTTTTCCATAAAATTCATCTACGTGATTACTGCTCATTATATTAAACAAAGTTACCTGCGAGAACAGATGGATATGATTCAAGAAGTCAGGAGCGATTCCTAGCCCAGTATCAGTAACCTCTATACGAATCCTCACTTCCTTCCAAGGTTGCTCTTCCTTTTCGTCACCGCTACCACTGTCACTACCAGCTATTGTCCTTAATTTTTTGTTGGTTTCTTTTTTTTGTTGTTGTTTAGCGGATTCTTTTTGTTGCTCGTCTAAGTTTAATTCTTCGTCCGAGTTTAGTTCTACTATGTTTAATATGATTCTCCCATGATCGGTGAATTTTATCTTTTAAATTTATTAAGCAAATATTGGATGGTTGATCAACAGAACAATCCTCGATCAATTATTAGACTATACATAAACTCAAACATACCGCATTCCCAAGAAGCTGTTATCAATTATCATTTATTATTGGTTTGTTTATAAGAATAGTTAAATAATTTCACATACACACAAATAATACTTTTAGATACATACGTTCAATATTATCTGCTGTAAACACCCAACATCTCCGATCATAAACCGATGTAACGGATTCACTGTCGAGAAGATATTGAAATCAAGTTTTTTATGTTCCGGTATAGGTGCTAATCCTAATTATTAAAAAAAAATATTTATTTACTAGATGTATTGATGACCATATCTCAATAAAACCTAATAGATACCATCACCGAGTTCTTGAATCAATGTGAAAATATCAAAAACATTATTTTCCAATTCGAAACTGCCGCACTCGAGTTTAGCAAACGTTAAGACTTGATTGACGACCTAAACATGGTGTGTGTTATGTAAATAAACAAGTACGATATATGTAAGAATAAAAATTCATATGAATCCAACTTTGTGAATTTTTTGCATATGATAACAATAAACTAAAGAATCATAATAACGAAAAACATCAACACTTTACAGAAAGCAAGCTCTTTCCACAGCTTTCGATCGTGTTTAGAAGCACACGTTGAGATTCGTTTAGTTGTGTTTTATCAAGAATTTCGACCGATGCCAATATACCTTTTTTATATTTGAAGCCGGATTAACGGTATGAAATGGGGCGAGAAGGTGGTAAGAAAATGTATCAAAAAAAAAAATGAAGGAGATCTAAATAGATTACCGTGTAATGGCTTGATCGCAAGACAATATCCCATAAGATTTATTATTGGATAAAGAATATTAGATCTTAATGTTCATCAGGAGAAATTATCAATAACAGATAATAATTTCTTTACTAACCGTTCGTAATTCTATAATTCATTCACCAAAATGATAATTCATCATAAATTGTATATAACATGCAGACGACTATATGCGAATCACTTACCATGGGTCACTTTCGAGATGAACATCAATTTTGACGCTGTCCTTGCCTTTTAGAAATGAAAAAATAACATGAAACTTCCAGTACTCTTTAATCAGATAATTGGATACAAAAATTACCTCATCTAAGCTTCTTTGAATATTTGCTTGATTCACAGAAAAATTTTGTTCATATGACGACTTTTTTTAAAAGAATCAAAAACTAGTTACTCAGTTGTGTTGCTCACGTGATTCAACATATTCCACGTGATTTTCATACTCACAAAAAGGAAATACACAAAGCATACGAAATACACATCGCAAACCATCCAAACGACTAACGAGAGAGGGAGTGCGTTGTTCTCTCGACCAATTGATCTGTGATCATTAATCATTTTATTAACAGATCAAAAGATATTTTGATTTACCCTCAGCAAATGAATTTTGTAGAACAGAGGTACTTACCGAAAAAAAGCAATCATGTAAATAACACAAATTATAAACAATGTTTGCTTTCCAAAATTTTTGAAGACAAATCCATATCTCATTCATTCATTACGAATGAAAATAAATGATGGATCTTAATAAAGAAAGTCGTGAAAAATAAAAGAAATCGATATTGCAAAAAGATAGAACTAACCCATATAGAGGGACCGCGAAAAAAATTGCATGAAACCCTGATTCAAAAATACACACACAAGTGAAAGAAATGAATTCTCATAGATTAGATCATCATTATTTGATTACACAAAATTGAATACATGTACTTACCATTTCCTAAGATGGCTAAGATGGTTGTGTGTATAATCAAAGAATAGATTCCTAATTTTGTTGCATGTAGTCTCTCGTATTGAATCCCAAAAAGTATTGCTATGTACAGCATAATATATATCCGACTCGTGCGTATAAAATATATTAGCAGTTTTTAACATGTAACTCTAAACAACCAACTTAGAGTACTAACCAGCATAGATTAAAGCCCCCAAAAGCGACACCTGCCAAGTTAACATCGGAACATTAATTTCTCGAATAAGTTTCGATGATATTTGATCAGGAAATCCTAATGCCGAATATGTGCCCGGAAAAAGTTGTGTAGCTAGTGCGAGAAAAGCAGAAGCTGTAGCTGTGATTACGGGTCGTGCTTGTAATAAAACTTGACTCTTTGAATGGTCTTTTTTTATTTCTGCGAAAGACAATAGTCATAAAGGAAAAAGGAGATTCGAAAAGAAGGAGAAGTGAATGAATTTACCTAAGTATTGTACATATACGAGGTGAAGAGAGGAAAAAAGCGACAGAAATTAACGTTGATCTTATACTCACCTTTTAAAATTTCTTGTGGAAGCAACTGGTCAAAAGTCTTGCATGTCCACATTATCCGTTTTTCTATTTTTCTTTATTGTTCTTAGAATCAAGAAAAAAGGTAACTACATTAATATATAGTGGCAATCATAATTATAATTAGTAAAATGCGTGTTTTTCCTTACATATAAAATTTTTTAATTTTACTAGCAAATATTTTTTATTTTTAACTCAAAAATTAGCTAAATTTCTCTAGTTTGACATATATTTTTTCCAGATTTTTCGGATTTTTTACCAGGAACTTGTTCATATTGCATATCAAGATAATTAATTTTTATTAATTATTAATTATGCAATATGAACAAGTTCCTGGTAAAAAATACGAAAAAAATATACGTCAAATTAGAGAACTTTAGCTATTTTTTGAGTTAAGAATAAAAAATATTTTTTAGTAAAATTAAAAACTTCTATATGTAAGGAAAAACACGCATTTACTAATTACAATAGTAAAAATTCAAGCGTTGCATTTAATTATGATTGCCACTGTACGATACATGAGGTGATTCATAGTGTTGATACGCGCGATATCTTCGATTAAAAATTTACGATTTCATGTGAATCAAATTACAGTTAATGGTAATAATGAAAATAGACATTAGTAAGGTTTTTTTTTCAAGCCAGACCTACAATAGCATAAAAAATAAGTTTACCTCGCTTGCAGGGAAAAGAACCAAACTACTGATAACGGTAATTAATCACACGAGTTTATAATTAGGCACAATGATGTAATTGTCACTTTTTCTGCTGGAAATCGAGAAGTTTGTTGTTAGTTAATTCACTTGGAAGTAACATAAAGATATTAAAGTTTAAAACAAAAACTATTTTTAGTCGAAACTCAATGTTTCAACAGATTCATTGATAAAATTTAATGCAATTTGACTTTGACATGTTTTAAATATAGGTTTAACTTGTACAGGTTTTACTAAGATTTTAATATAGTTTCCAGAGCGACCGGTCAAAAACCGTGAGTTTTTGACAGGCAACTTTAAAAGATATGACATCCTGAAAATTAAAATATTAAAAACATAATGTTGTGATATTGTGATAATAAAACTTGCAAATGTTTTACATTTGGCGCTTCTCTTCTCAAAAGAAACTATGCGATAAAGCGGAAATTATTCTTTCACTGTTTCTAGACGACGCCGATCGATTTATGTTAGATATGACGTGCAGATGAATATTCTATGATACTGTGGCTCGATTTCAAAATGTGAGCCACAGTATATAAGCTATAACATTACAAATCATTTTTTTTGACACTATCTTTCAAGTTTAGAATTTATTACGTTAATTTAATCAGGTGTTATGCAGAGGAACTACTTTGATATATGATCACATATTTATTAAAAATAAATGAACATTTGCTTATTCTAATTAAAATATTACTCTGTAAATTTGAGTTATTTATTTTGCAAAAAATTATTTTTTACAAAATTAATTGTACCAAATTTATTATTTTTATGTGGTTAGATAGACACGCGTGTGCCTCCGAATATGAAAAATCATAGCATTAATATTAAAAAAATAAAAAATATTTATAAATTAATATGCTTTTAAACAAGTTAAAAAAACACAAATGCTCAAAAAAAGCATTTTTATATATTTAAAGAACAATAATTTACTAAGAATAAATTAGCAATCCTTTTAATAATAATGTAATGTTTTGTTTCAGGCGTTTGTTACTCTTTACAGATGCCAAGTATTTTCGTTTTTGAAATCAAAAATGGGACGAGTCACGTGATTGGCAAATGTATCATAAGTATCGTGGAACACTACAAAATGCTGGCCCTGGAAACTTTTTCTCCTAAGGCCATGTTTTTCTAGGGACAGAAAATTAATATATTTTGATATATTCTATATATTCTGGTGTATTCCGATATGGAAGTCACGTAAATACAAATATTCAAAAGTATATAAATTAACTGAAAATGATTAAGATGTCAAATTTCTGATATCATTACTTCGTGATACTTGTATTAACTCGCAATTTAGAGCTAATATTCTAGGAAAAAAGTTTTCACAAATTGATATTAATCGAAATTGAGTACGAACAGGAGAGAATGGCATTATGAACAAGATATATAGCATTTTAACTTATTTTGTGGCGACTCCAGTGACAGGACAATTTTTAACCATTTGCGAAAACAAATCATTCGGATTAAAAAACGTTTCTAACTGCAGAATCTGAAATTTCTCATTAATCGTAGCCACTGTAACCCCAAAAAGTTCCACTATTTCGTTTGTTGGTTCCGCTATGAGCTCTGAACCGTTGCGCATGGGGCATCGTAGTTTGCCGCTCATCGTGCCCCACTAACGTAGGGAAAAAAGTAGCGATTACAATTTCAGAATTATAATAGATAAAATGACATAAAATAAAAGCAAAGGTGAACGTACATGACGCCACTTAAAACTAACGCGTGGAGGACCAGAATACACTTCTAAACATTCCCAAGCGAATCCTGAACGAAGACAACTGCGAAAAACTTTATGAGAATCCACAGAATCCATGATCCTACTTGCCGCATAATATTCTGACTCACCGATGAGAGCATTATAGGTACCGATTTTGATCATGTCTTCTGCTGTGGACCATGCGCCGCCGTTTGTGGAGAATCTGTTGTATATGTTTTAACAATAATGAGAAGCAAAATGACATAAGAATAATGTAAGGTTTTTACTTGTAAAGTTTGTGGTCAATTGTACGCCAATCGGTAGCCTTTGGCTTGTAAGATGCCTCCTTTTCCCAGTTTTTGACAAGGTTCGTGACGAGATCTTCAAGGGAGCCGGATTCGTGAATCTTCGTACGTTCTAGGTAAAGGACAGGATAAATATACATATATTATATTACTTGTCTTCTTAGTTTTCCTTCGGCGCTTACCTTTAAGGAACAGGTTATTGGCTTTACTATAATCTGGAATTGTACCGTGAAGCCATTCCACTTTGTCCTTAAGTACAGCATTCATATCAGTCATATAATCTGGAAGCGCCATTTCGATGAATTTCTATCAGTGAATTTGAATAGAAAACTCGATAAAGAACGCGCTGTCCACCTCTTTTTATAGACAAGAAATAAGTCGCACACAGCATTTTGCTAAAAATATCACCATTATCGTTATAGTATGGAGGAAATCACATGTATGATAAGATGTTTGATATGACTAATTTCGGATAAAAATTAGCAAAATGCGATCCACTATACTCCAATAGTTAATTTTTATCCGAAATTAGTTACTTTGATAAGCTGTAATTAATATTTCTACAATCACCATTCTTGGTACTCAGCCTCTTTTTATTGCTAAAATGTCACCATTATTGGCGCAGAAATTTAGAATGTCTACTAATTTATCCTGATTTGGTTCAGAATGCAGGATCAGGGTTAGAAGGGAAAGAATTTTATATATTGTTGTTATATTGTTATTTGTTATATTGTAGAATTATATGTTGTAAAATTATCTCCCCCGACATTTTTTAATTAATGCTCCAAACTAAATTTAAGCTTTAATTTTTTGTGTCGGATTTGTTTTGCCGGGTTGATCAAAAAAATTTGCATTACCTACGTCCAATCAGAGCTTGGGAAGTAAATTAGTGCATTAATGTCACCTTGTTCAATAACCACCATAAAATGTCTAATAACGATAAAATAATCGAAGATATTGCCGAGGGAATAGAAAATTATCCGATTAGGCTACTATATCAAGAGAGAAGTCAAGTCGAGGAATTAAAGAGACAACACATAAAGGTTTATTTCTCCCTAAAATTATTTATATCCCGTATAGCAATGATATTGACGGGATTTTTACATAACGAAACCAACTCAGTATGTCAAACATAATGTATCACTAGACAGTGATTTCTATTATGATGGGTGTGATTGTGCAGATAATTGCGAGTCGTCAGAATGTGGATGTAAATCTACTCATGGTATTTTTTTTTATTTTGTCTATTTTGATATTTTGCTATACTAAATAAAAATCAATTTTCGTAGGTTATTTTTACACAAGTCAAATATCAGGTCTAGATCCGAAACTGTTTCAATCCACATTCAATCGTACAATTTACGAGTGTAACTCTTTATGTGTTTGTTTAAATCAATGCCAGAATCGCCTCGTGCAACATGGAGTTGCTTTGCCATTAGAAATATTCAGAACATCCTTGTGTGGGTGGGGTGTCCGTGTACCATTATCTCATACGAATAATAGTAAAGAAAAAGATGCGGACGACCAAATTGTGATTAAAAAAGGACAATTTGTCTGCGAATATGCTGGTGAAATCATAAAAACAGACGAGGCCAGACGGAGGTGGAGATCGTACAAGAATGACTATGGAATTTCTGATAATTATATACTTTGTGTAAGAGAGCATATTGGGTATGTGGAAATCTTGAATAAATTACCGTCATTGCATTTTGTCTAAATTAAATATTTAAATATCTATAATTTTGACAGAAAAGATCGCATTCTTCGGACGGTAAGTCGAAAGAAATCCCACTTTGATTTTTTGGATTTTTGACATTATTTTTGATAAATCCTTGACTTTTAGAATATAGATCCAACACGTATAGGAAATGTCGGTCGATACATTAATCATTCATGTTCACCAAACTTGCAAATGTTTTTAGTTCGAGTAAATTCTTTGGTACCGGCCGCAGCATTATTTGCAACACGTGAAATTCGAGCAAATGAAGAATTGAGTTTTGATTATTCGGGTCAGATTGGAATAGGGATTGAAGATGCAAAACTGAGCGATAGTAATGAAGAAGATAATGGTAGTGAAAAATGTATCGTTAGGAATAGAAAACCCTGTTTTTGTGGAAGTGAGAATTGTCATGGATATTTGCCTTTCGATGAATCATTATAATAACAAGTATTTTTGTGGGAAATTTTGATTTCAAAGTCTGTTCTTTTACTTGACCTGTATCACTACATCCTTTTCTTCCGCGTCAAAGATGCGTTGATCACGCTTATAATAATGATAGCACTTTTAATAATATGGATGAGCTATTTATTTTTTTAGACGCAATCACCTTGTAACCAAAATACATTAAAGTTTAGTTATCCGGGTGTTCACTTATTCAAATTGCTCAGTTATCTGGCGGGTTCTCGAATAATGGTTAATAAAAAAAATTCACTTAGTTGAAAAGATCAATTTATTCTTTGGAATCGGGAACATCGATAACTTGAACTCTTCAATACGAACAATTGTTCGACCTGTAACAAAATTTGCGAAGAATTTGAATTCGGTATACATTAATGGGTAAAAAGTATAGAATGATCAGACAACTTTCAATTTTACATGAAGAAGCAACAAGTTTTTCTAATGATATAATGCTGTACAAGTTCGTGAACATTGAACCAAAAATTGAGCACCATTCCGAGTTTTAACCTTATGATAAAATTTTTGTTAGTTCTATTCTAGTTATTACAAATATTTAGCATTGGTTCATGAAATATTGTACAAAACATTCAGTGAATTGACATAAAAAATGTATAACGCGTATTTTTCATTCATGCCAATAATTTTTACGGTTAATCTTGCTATACATATAATATATTTGTATCCTTTGTTAAAAACTTTCGGATGCTTCTAAAGAAATTTCCAAGTAAAGGCATGACAACAGACGCTTTTCAATTGCAAAGATTTTAAACTTGACATATGAATTTAAAATTATCATTGCAAGTTTTAATTTAATCTTTCTTTAAAAGCAATCCGTTTAAGATGCTTCTTTCGAAATAGTAAATCAAAAGTTTTGGTTGCCACTTTATTCATAGAAGCTAAAGAAAAATAAGTTCTATTCTTATTAATCTATTATAAAATTATTGGTTACATCGTTCCTTTTATCAGGCTTTAACTTAATCCGGAAGAAATTTAATAAAAAAGACATCTTTTTGCTCATATATAATTCATATATTCATGAAGATTATTAAATTTCTTAAAGAGAATGAAATCTTCAACATCTTGATTTCAAAGTTATTATTACTATGAAAAGAATAAATATCCATCATATCCTTTCATCAATGTACAAATTTGCGAAAAAATTTTGAAAGATATTAAATACTGTAATAATTTTAGTACACTTCAAGTACTTTCTGATATTACTAGAATATTATAAGAAGATGTGTAATATTATAAAGTTATTATTTAATTATCTATGAGATATATAAAATTTTGAGTTCTAGAATTTGTAATTTTTTGTTTTAAATATTGAAATCAAGTATATTTAGAATATTATATATATTATTTATATATGTAAAACACATTTACTCTTCTCAGAATGTTATTAAAATACTTTAAAAAGATATTCAGAGTAAGTTAAAAATCTGCTCACAATTTGATAATTGAAGTTTATTAAAATTCAATATTTATTGATATTTTAAATATTCTGAAAATATAAAAAAATATGATTTTTAGTATTAGAATTTACTATATTGTAAATTTATTTTTCTAATAATACAAAGAAAATTAGAATAAATAGTTCAAATTATATAAATTAAATATTATAAGATTAGAAAGTTTATAAATAATACTTAGAAATAATGCTAAATTATATAATTTTTTTAAATTAGTATTATATAAATTTATAATTAGTGAATTTTAAAGTTTATAATCTGTTATTTAATAAAAATAATGTAAATTTTATTAATAATAAATAAGAATTCAAGTAAATTTGATTCAAAAGATTAAAAATTAATATCTGATATATAAATTTATTTTAATTATTGTGACAGATTAAAATGAAATCAGATTAAAACGAAATGAGTGACCTTTTTTTGTGCACAAGTCACATGACACATGCACATTATGTATTTCGGCATTTTTATTATTATCATGTTACCTTACATACTAAAAATGTTAATGATGCATCAATATAATACATTATTGATCAAACAATGGGCTTTTATTTATATATATACCATTGTTGCTTACTCTGTCCGTCTAAGTTTCTTTAAATTCTTCACTGCGAAGGTTTTTACCTCACCATTAACCTCTACTCTTACAGTCCTATTATTACTACACATACCAATAACCTTTCCACTAATACTATACACCTGCTCTAACTTCCGTTTTCTCGTTTTTTGATTAGTATCATGATCCAGAGCAATTGCAACCTCCTCTCCAGGTTCAAAAGCTAATTTTCTTCGATGAACACTTCCACGGATCACCATCTTGTTTCGATAAAGCTCGTCATTTTGTGCAATCTCCATTCGTATTTTTTCGACCTGCCTTATATGAGTTTCATAGACGGTAACTTGGCCATTATTCTCTTGTATTACTTCGGTGATTGTTTCGCGCGGGATATCTTCTTCCCCTTGTGTTTCGATCGAGACATAAACTTCAGTATCAAAAATATCGACTTGTTCTGAAGTCTTATTAAATTGTGTTGTTTCGTCCAGAATATTGTTGATTTGCATTATTCCACCCAGAGTATCATCAATTTGTGTTGTTTTGCCTGGAGTATCATCGATTTGTGTGATTTCGTCCGGAGTATCGTCAATTTGTGTGGTTTCGTCTGGAGTATCATGAACTGGTGTAGTTTCGCCCAGCTTATTATCGATTTCTATGGTTTCATCTGGTCTATCGTGAGCTTGTGTAGTTTCACCTGGCATATCATTGATCTCTGTGGTTTCGTCTGGCCTATTGTGAGCTTGTATGGTTTCGCCCAGCATATCGTAGACTCCTCTCATTTTAAACCCAAAA